CTCCTTGGAAAGAAGGAGTGGATACTGAATAACGTCAAACGCTTTGGAGAGGTCCATAGAGACCACCGCAACGAGCTCACCTCTGTCGCGCATCATCCTCCAATCTTCCGTCAGCCTTAGCAATGAGGTCTCACAACTATGAAGCTTCCTGTAAGCGCTAATGAAATCTGAAAGCACTTCGAGATAAAATTCATGCATCTGGCCTGCTAGAAGCTTTTCAAATTATTGTTCAGAACGGGGAGCACAGTTACAGGCCTTGGAATGGAATGGTTGAAAATGTTTGTGAGAGGCTCAGCAATAACAGATGCAGCGTGTTTGACCAGCCATGGTGGGATCATATCATGACCAGGCGATTTACGAACATTGATCTTTTTCAATAAGCTTTCAACCTGAGATTTGCCTGTGCGATGAAAACTGAAGCAAGCAGGTTCGTCTTTGCCCCTGTTTTCAAAGATTACTTTGATGCTCAGATGATTAGCAAAATCACTGCCATAATCCTCTTCCTCTCTCAAAGGTACATTATCAGCGACGTGTACAAAGTGTTCGTTAAACAATTCGGCAATTTACTTTTTGTCAGTAATAATTCTGTCCTTTTCCTTTAAGATAATATCATTGGCTCTTCTTGCTTTCGTATGTAAAAAAGGGCGGAAAGTAAACCAGAACTCGTGTGGGTTACCAGGCTCTGATGATTTCTTAACAAAGTACTGTTTTATTGCTTTTCGCCTAAGAGAAGTACAGGTGTTACGTTGAATTTGTACGCCTCGTAATTTGCATCCGTACGGTTGCGCGTGAATATTTTCCACAATCTGTTGCGGTGCCTAATGGCTTTCCTCCATTGTTCCGTCATATATGGCACCTGATTGCCGCGTACCATTGTTCGCTTAATGGGGGCATGCTTATTTATGACATCTAGAAACACTTGTTCAAATGCATCAACCTTATCATCAAGTTCATCAAAAGCGTCAATAATGAGGAAAGGCACAGATTGCATGTCACGCACAAAGTTTTCTTGGCTAAAGTTCTTGAAACTACGAAAGCAAATCTTGCGTGAACGAGCCCTTGGTGCCAATGATCGTAGGATTGTCTAAACCAACGAATGATCGCTGATGTGTGTGTATCCACTACGCCAGATGCAACTATATTTCTCTGGTTGTCAGTGAGAATTAAATCGAGAGTAGTTAGAGATGTCCTGGCCTTTCGAGTTGGCTCATTAATTAAGCAATCCAGGTTAAAAATATCTAACAAGTCTAGAAGAGATCGTCCGTCTTTTGGCAGTTTGTCCGGTTCTGAAATGTCAGCATTATCTAGAGCCGCAAACATTTAACATGAAGACAGTGTTGATGCTGCCTCGAATAGCAATGATAGCTCATGACACCACTGTGATTTAGGAGTTGACGGAGGCCTGTAAATTCCACAAACAGTGATCCAGGTTTTCGCAAGGTTAATCCTGAGAACGATAGATTCGGTTTTAAAACTTGACCACTTTTCAGAAGGGAGCCCTTTTATTTGTTTGACTCGGATAAAGCAGATGTCGCTCCTAACATACACTAATAAACCACCGCCACTTGCCTTTCTGTCGCAACGACACAATCGAAAACCATCAACATGAATCATGTTGTCGGGAAAAGTCGCGTTGATTTTGCTCTCAGATGTAATCAGAATGTCAAATTTACTAGAAAGAAGCCAAGATTTTATCTCATGAAATTTAAAACCGCCGATGCTGTTAGCGTTAATGTGTCCCAGTTTAAAGTTTGAAACATTATTCCTGACTCCGACTCTACCTCATCTTGCTTTTCTTCGAAAGTTGAGTTTTCAAAGAAACTATCACTAAGTGGAGGTAGAGAGCATCTAATACAGTACCATGTTGGAAACTGTGCCATAAAATAGGATCGCAACTTCCTAAAATTCATGCCAGTGCATTTCCTGTGATAGGTGTCGATACAACCACTACAAGGGACGCCATTTTGATTTTTCTTCAGAGCTTTTCCACATTCAGCACATAGAGATCTTGTATAACTGGATCCTTTGACCGGTCCAGCGGGGTTACTAGGAATATCGCCCGACAGTTTGAGCAACTCAAACTGCGTTGTAGCCGTAGCGTTACGATAGTAAACGACTCTCTGTCCTGAGTACCTCTTTGCCTTCGGCTTTGCATAAATTGCTGTTGGGAATCTTGCTAAAAGGCAACTCGATCTGGCGAAATCCAGTATGAATCAAAGCCAGGACTCTTTTGCTAGCTTCGGAGCTAAACTTTGCGATGCTCTTCGTGAATTCCCGAAGAGAGCTTTCAAAAAAAACTTTTTAAGGACATGTTATTTTCGTTCTTAGAGGCTGAGGATTACTATGTTGAATCGCCCCTTCTACTTCAAAAAAATTAATATTAATTTATGTTTAAGCTTTATTTTGTAATCTATCACTACTGGCTGTACCTCTAATTCCCGCCCGCCTTGACTAGCTCCTACTATTTGCGGGCGTGAACGGTCTTCATGAACATGAAAGTTTGCTTGACAACCGATTAATGTTGATATCTTGTAAAACGTGTATATTAGATTAGTAATAATTAGATTAATAATAATAATAATTAAGTAGATCTCAGTACAACTTATGAAGTTTTTAAAGGTCTAATAAAGAAAAGGTTCTTTTTTTTTTACTAGCAGAAGGGATTCTAAATACTTACTGCTTTGCAACAACATGCTATCAAACTAGCAGTCTTCTTGTAAGTCTTTTCTAAGTAATGATTAAACCTCTCATCTGGATTTTCTTTTGACCCTAGTTGCATAAATTCACCTACAAGTAAAACAAGATACAAATTAAAATTATCCTTCAAACAACCAACATAGCACTTGAAATCTCATGCGTGAAACCGTTTTTTTTACCATAAGCTGTACACTTGACTTCTTCTTTGAATTGAGTACTACATTAACATTTATTTGTGAACTTAACCCAGCAGATGATGACATAGATGACAAAGTCATGTTATTTAGCTTCCCTTGGTCCATACGTCATAAATAAGAGCCAAAAAGTTCCCTGTCCAGCTTGACCTACACTGTAACTAGGTTGTGGGGCATTTTTTGATGATTTCCCACTTTCTATTTTTTCCTTTCTCTTACTTTTTTCCATCTTTTAGCCTGTGCCTCATAGCTCCCAGTCCCTTTATTGATGCTTTTCCCTTAAATTATTTTCAGATTTCAAATAAAAGTGATGGGTGAGTTGGACAAGTCGTATGATAATGTAATATAGTTACTCACCTTTTACAAGGTCATCTACAACCTTGGCTAATAATTCTACAACTTCACTGTTTCCGAGCTTGGCCAAAGTTTGAGAAGCACATGCAAGGATGTAGTCTGCTGCTAGAACTGACATCCTCTCTCCAAACATTTTATTGATGGATGTTTTTCCTCGTCTGGTATCAGCTCCATCAATAACATCATCGTGAACCAAACTGGCAGTGTGGATCATTTCTGACACCATTACAACTGTTGATTGTGATGGAAGGATTTTCCTGCAAAAAAGCAAGAAACAGGTGATGCATGTAAATATTAACCCAAGGCTAAAAATTCTTATTATTATCATTTTTTCACCATTTTTACATTTGTTAGTTGAGTTATTGAGCCTAATTTATCCCGTTGAGTACCAGTAGTTTCTCCTTGAAGTGGCAAGGATAGAAGGGGTACGTTTCTAAAGAATATTTGGTGCTGCATTGTTGGGGGTATAACAAGAGACTTTGGCTTTCTCAACTGAGTTCAAACTCAGTAGCAACTCTTTACGGTGGCAGATTTACTTCGTCAACTCAGTTGATTCAACCAAATTATCTGCCAGTGGAAGAGTTTTAAGAAAAATATGTGTGGATAATATATTGTATGAATTAACACAACATTCTCAGAACTGATTAAATCATATTTATTTAGTGTTACGATGGAAGCATACTACAATGATAAAAATGCCAAAGTCATGACATGTGTCAAAAAGCTCAAGTATTGTCAGCCACTTTTCATAGCTGAAGTAGCTTTTCATACCTGAGTATTTTTTCTACATCAGGATAAACACTTTGATCCTTGCAGGTTAACCACCCACACTTTACAAGATTTCCTGGTAAGATTTGTGACACACACATTTATATTCCTGGGTGGAGATGGGTACTGGAAGAGTAAAACACCTCCCCCAAGAACATGACATATGGACCCCTGTCAGACCTTCACCTTACAGTAACCCTTTCATGCCGTATGCCAGCCAATAAGGCACCATGTATCTCTCATACTAAATGCCACATTAAGAGTATCGCCCAAAACAAACCTGCTGTTGGAAGTGTGCGAGTTACATGCCTCTGCAGTCAAAAGCACCATCATTGGTCTGATGTATTTTCCTTGACCATCAAAGTAATATTGACTCACATCTCTGAGAGGTTTGATGGAGGAATTAAGTTCCTGTAAAAAATAAGAAAAAATTATTTTTATGCTCTTGAGAGGAATGCAGCATCTACATGTATAATTATATATCTTCTTTACTGTTTTTTTTTTAAGTTTTTTCTTTAATGCACCATGTAGATGCACATCAACAAGTTTTATGAAAAGCTTTAAAATAGGTTGCTTTCTTGTTGAACTAACTGTTACATATAAATATGGCTACTTTCCCATCTTTTTGTTCAGATGGTAACACTTGTATCATCAACTTATATTCTAATAAAAAACAGGAAAAACAAACAGTTACTACTGAATTCTGTTTGGACACATTAGAAGGAAATTTGTATTGGTTACACATACCTTTTTTATTGCTTCACAGAGTTGTGATAAATGTGTTTCTGTTAAAGCATGTGGGTCTATTTGTGTTTTCTCTGTATGTGAATATGTTGAAAATCTGCAAAACAAAGGATAGTATTGTCTACTACTGTTTAAATTTTTCACATTTAAAATGTAAGGACTGAGAACTTGGTATTCATAAAAATACTGCCTAACTGATTTCTTTTTATATTCTCATCACCTGTCTACAAGGCAATGCAATGAATCAATACTACAAGCAATGAATCAACACTATGTGCAATGAATCAATACTATGAGCAATGAATCAATACTATGAGCAACAAATCAATACTATGAGCAATAAACCAATACTACAAGCAATGAATCAATACTATGAGAAGTTGCACTTTCATTGCCTTTGGGAATTGAGACTCTTTTGCTCCCAAAAGTGATCTGTAGGGAATTTCTCCTTATGATATCAATACATTTTCAAGCTCAAGGTTGATGAGAAGAAGGACTTATTATCAACACTCAGGGACACTGCTTGATTTATCACCAAATCCTCTGAGCTAATACAACAAGGAACAGCATGGCAAGCAGCATACAGTAGACAGTTGATATTATTTTAGATACTGGGAGTCAAACAGTTACCTCTTTAACCATTAAGAGTAACCAGCATCTTATTTTTCCTTACAATATCACCCCTGGATCAGTCATTAAGGTCACAAGAATAAAGGAGATAAATATCACTACCTAAGGGCTTTTAAGTCTGGATATTGTTTTGAAGAAATATAGTATTTGTGATATTTTAGCCATCAGAGATAGCAAACTATGGATCAAGATCACTTCAAATACCAATGCACTTGATGATCTTTTACCGCCGAGACATACTAGGCAATTACGCAGCAGGGGCCATGATTATATATTACCTAGAGTTCATACTTCACATTTTAAATCCACTTTTGTACATAGATATCTTTTTAGCATTGTCTGCCATTAATAGTTAGTTGTATTTTCTATCTTAATCTGTTTTATATTTCAATCTTTGTAAATAATGACACGGTTGAATTGCATTATTTCTTTTAAAAAAGACCATTATTACTATTATTATCATTATTATAAAGCTTGATTATCAATTAAGAAATTCTCCTTGTCAGCTCCTTAAAAAATGTATAAAGAACAGTATGGAGAATATGCATACTGAACTTGGGGTGTGAATGGTTAAAGGATTCATTCTGGAAATTAAGGGGGGGGGGGTAACATGAAGCATGACCACAATGAGAGTTGTAAGGTCTTTTTGCCATAATTTTCTCTTTTGGACCCTCAGTTTAACTGAACCTCTATAACTGATTATCTTCACTGAATAAATGGTATCAAGCCAAGTGCAATGGGCATCTCATCATCCAGATGAGAATAATCCCAAAAAAAGTAATTTGGTTTTACCAACTAAGTTGAAATTGTAAATTGGCCACCGTAAAGAGTTAAAAAGCTGACGTTTCAAATGTAAGCCCTTTGTTAGAGTGAAAGATGAAGGGCTAATACTTGAAACATCAGCTTTTTAACTCTTTACTGTGGCCAATTTACAATTTCAACTTAGTTGATACAAGCAAATTACCTTCTTGGGATTACTCTCATCTGGATTATGAGATGCCCATTGTACTTGGCTTGATACCATTTACCTTGTTACCCCCACTAATGCAGCACCACAGTTTCCTCAGAAACTTACAACTTAATCCCAAAAAGGAGTGTTTTCAAAAAATTAATAGTGGGTGATTTTTTAACAACCTAATCAGTAGTTCCCAAGATGTCAAGTGAGGAGTCATTTCCAATTAAATACTTTGGATATATCAACAAAGTGTAAGTGGTAAATTAGCCACTGTAACGATTACAAAAGCTGATGTTTCGAGCGTTAGCCCTTCGTCAGAGCGAATAGAGCAATTGTGGGTTGTGTGTGCTTTTAAAGGCAGAGAATGGAGCTATGTTATTGGTGGGAACATGGCAACGAGAAAAAAAAGAATAAATTAGTGGAATGAAAAGCGTTCGTTGATCCCTGTGGAAGTTAGACTGCCAGTTTGAAAGATGAGCTTTTGTTCAAGATTTTTACGGCTTTC